ACGGGGATGCATTCACTTGCTGAGCTTGTGATTGAGCAGCAAATGCTCTGGCATTCTTGGACTGTCGTGCGGCGCGAAGGTCACTAAACGACATGATGATCGTTTTGTCCAGGAAGTTCTCAATTACCATTTTGAGAGAACAAGGGCAGTCCCGAATGCGGGGAAAGGTGACGTCACGAGCGATTGTCGACTTTGCGGAACCATTGTCAAAACTTGGCTTCGTCCAGACGACAATGTCCTCCAAGTCTCCGGATCTGTCAAACTTCTCCTCAGCGGAGCTCAGCGACGACGAGCTCGACAATGTATTTCAACATATCTATCGCCGATTGGCGGTATGTCGAAACGATTCGCTCATGTACGCAGACCTCGAGTGCATGCTCGCGCCGGGCAAGGAAGACGCGAAAGCCAAGCGAACGGACGAGTTTGGCCACAACATAGACGAATGGGCCCAGACAGTCATCGAGAAGGCTTGGATCGCCTGCCATCCGAAGCAGTCGCCAGGTGAATAGGCGCCCGGCAGTCATGTATCGCATAGGCTGAGGCCATGTTCGCAGAGCAATGTCCTCAGCTGGACCGATTCGCCGAGACGTCCACCGGACGACTTCCCCCACTCCCCGACTATCGTCACCTGGAGAAGCTCATGAACACCATTCTGCTGCTGCTGGTCACGTCCTACAAGGAATACTCGGCACGCACGCGGACATTTCTATCCGAGTTTGGGGCGTTGAACGAAGAGGCCATAGTGGCCACACTCAAGGACCCCGACAGGGCTGTCAAGAAAGCGCAAGAGGCCGCCGAGAACACGTCTAAAGAGCACGCCGACAACCGCAAGATGTTCCGGCGCGTAGGACTCGGACTGGCGGCGGTCGGCGGCGGTGTCCTTGTCGGCGTCACCGGTGGCCTTGCTGCGCCGCTTGTCGGTGCAGGCGTGACAACAATCCTCGGATGGTTGGGGATCGGTGGCACGGCCGCAGGCCTTCTCGCCAGCGGTCTCGCCGGCTCATCAGTCGTCTGTGGCGCCCTCTTCGGCGCATATGGGGCGAAGTCTACTGCAGAGATGGTCGGCAGACACACGAAGGAAATTACTGATCTCGCTGTGGTCCCGGTGTCGCCGCGCTCTGTGCATGACACCATGGCCGTCCGGCTGTGCATCACGGGCTGGCTGTCGACACCGGATGAGGTGACGGCGCCGTGGACCGTATTCGGTGGAGATGATACGTTCGCCTTGCAATGGGTACGCATGAACATCGTACCTGCTTGGTCGCGATCCTGACAGTGATTGTAGGAGGTTCAGGCCCTCCAGGATCTGTCAAATGCCCTATACTCCCTCGTTAAGAGCCACAGTCTGAAATATGTCAAAGCCGAAATCATCAGGCGCACCATATTTGCGAACCTCATGTCCAGTCTCGCACCCATTGCCTGGCTCAAGATTGGGCAGGCAAGTGCATTCCTCACTTGCCCTCTTCATTTTGCTGACGATTCTTCATCCCAGATCATCGACAACCCCTGGATGAACGCCTCGGCTCTCGCTGACAAGACTGGCGCCGTCCTCGCAGATCTCCTCGCCCAGCGCGTCTTCGGCAAGCGCCCCATCACCCTTGTCGGCTACTCCCTCGGCGCCCGCGTCATCTTCCAGGCCCTCAAGCAGCTCGCCCAACTTCCGCCAAAGGACACCGCGCACCTCATCCAGGATGTCTTCCTCTTCGGCACGCCCGTCACTACGGACCCCGCGGTGTGGACCGGCATCCGGCGCCTCGTCGCCGGGCGCGTGGTGAACGGGCACTCAGCCAACGACTATGTCCTCGCCGTCCTGTCCCGTGCGTCGAGCGGGCAGTGGGAGATCGCGGGCCTGCAGCCGGTGCAGGTGAAGGGCGTAGAGAATGTGTTATGCGAGGAGGTGAATGGGCATACAAAGTGGCGCGGGTTGATTGGGAAGTGCCTGCAGGACTGCGGGGCGCCGGGAATCATTGAGACGGAGGTGGCGAAGCAGCTGGCTGTGGTGGCGGCGCAGTTGAACAAGGAGGACGAGGCGATGTCTCCGGAGGAGGCTGACAAATTAGCCGAAAAGGGGCCACCGGAGGAGGAAGAGAAAGAGGGAGACATAGATGCAGCAGAGCCAAAGGAGCACAAGAGCCCGCCGAAGGAGAAGACGTGATTGCTTGATCGATACAGATATCAACATCGACGTGTATTCACAATGTATAGTAGGACATGCAAGCCTGCAGCTAGGAACGCTCGACACGCCGCCGTTTCCTCGTCTTGATGCGTTCCGCTAAGGAGAGCGAAGAATCCTCTGCCGGCGCAGAGAAATAGTCGTGTGGGACGACCACAGGTAGCTCATCCGCCGTCTTGCGTTTGGTCTTCCTACCGACAGGCGCAGGAGAAGGCGTTATCGGTGGGGTGGGTAAAGGGCCGTTCAGCAAGGTCTTTGTTGGCGTCGGCGTCTCCAAACCATACGTGGCGAAAGCGCGTAGGTCGGAGGTAAACAGCACCTATTCGTATTTCATGAGAGGGTAAAAGCCATTAGACTAAGGGGATGCTCACCGAATGGGCCCACCCAGCATAGTCGCCCCAAATGGCTACTAGCTTGGTGTTCACCTCGTCGTAGATCTTCGGAGTCATGGGTGTCTTGCCGTTCGAGGACTTGGCGCCGGATTTCAGGCCGTAATGCTTGACGGCTATCTGGTGCACATGCGTGTCCACGGGGATGACTTCGCGCTATTCATGATATTAGCTATAGTAAGAAGCCACTTGACCAACCGGCGCACCTTGTCCAGGCTCATGAGCAGAACGCAGTCAGCCACCTGGTAATAGAGCACGCGTCAACAGCAAAACAATGCACCGTCGCCATGGGTCTCACCTTCCTCCCTACCCCCATGAACTTCAAAAGCTCCTGGCGAGCTTCGTCCGTGGGCACTGTGCGCAGACCACCGAGCCACCGGTCCGAGGCACTTGGGTCGTGACCATGTGCCTCCACAAGCATCTTCGCCGTCTTCTGGATAAAGTCTGCCCTGTACCCAAATCCAAGTGCCCGCAAACGCGTCGCCACCTCGGGTGCAGCGAGCGCGGGGGCGGCGGGAAAGCGTGATAGGTCTCCACTTCGCCAAGTGCGTTGGGAGGGACAAAGAGGGGAGAGTACTCCTTGCAGAGGTTTGCACCATCTTCGTGATCCGGCCATATTGTTGTTCGAGGAGCAGATGAAGCTGTGGGTCAACGCAGTCAGCACGGACGCGACACAAGGATAGGGTACACACGACACCAGGTTCTCCCAGGGATCCTGTCGCAAGATGCGAATACCGGAGAATCTATCCTGCAGTCGCATGAAGACCTTGTCTCGCTGGGCCCATTCGCGGTAGAGCTTCCCCAGGTCGACGTCAAGCTGGAAGTAATCCCGGAGCCACAGCAATGTCTCCGCGTCCTTCAGCGCCAAAGCGGTGTCGGATGGTGCAGGGCTAGGGAACATGGAGCGGTAGAAGAGATGCTCGGAGGACTGCCGGAGGCAAACGACGCGGTCTTTCAAGCAGAGACGGTATTCCTGGGATAGTGAGCTTCCATTGGTGAGAGACTCCGGGGGCAAGTCAGCAATCGACCAGCGGAAGGACTGCCCGCATTTCAAAACCGCTGCCAGAGATAGCTGAACGATACGAAGGGGGAGAGCCTGGAAGCCAGCAGGAATATGAGTGATCATGGTGGCGCGGGTCAACCTGCGTGACGCGACTTGACGCGTCAATTTATTTTCACGCGAGGGCTCTTGTCATGGAGAACGAGCCCGTTAGATTGTACATGCATTGGTAGACTGAGAGCAAGAAGGGATACGACAGATATAGCAGCATTTTACGAGTAGACATGGTGTTGTGCAGCCCCTATACGGGGATGATGCACATCGTAGCGGCCACTGACAAGAATACTGATAAGGATAGGCAGAGGAGAGGTGGTGGCGATCTAGAAGTCCATGTCGAAGTCGATGTCCATGTCCATGTCATTGACCACATCCGTGTCAAGGGACGGTGGCTCGGTGGGAGGGTCTTGCCAACTCTCCGCATTCTCCGCACGGGCGAGTTCCTCTGCGTAGGCTTCAAGCTCTGCCTGCTCGAGGTCCTCCGGTGTCAACTCCTCTTCAGGTATGGTTGGGGATTCTGGTAGGCAGAGTCAGACAAAATAACGAGCAGGACACTGGTACGCACCTGCTTCTTCCTCTGCCCACCGCTCCATCGCTTGGAGGTCATCCGCGCCGAACTCGCGGGCGTACCAACGATCGAAGGAGCGCTGGTCCTTGCGGTTGCCAAATGCTACTACACGACGAAAGAACTGGGCAGAATTGAGCATATGCGTAACTGAAGCGTAATGTAGCGTACCTCGTCATTCATGATCTCCTCGTCGTCCTCGTCTTCATCATCCTCCATATCCTGGTCCATGTCGAATCCGTCACTGCTCGGTTCGCTGGAAGCGTAGCGCCGCTTGTTGATAGACTGTCTCCGGGCCTGCGCTGCGCGCTCCAGGCATTTTGTCCTGAACCGATCCCTGAGGAATGCCTTCTGGGGATCCTCACTGGGTGACGAGTTCACGAACAGCTTTCTACTGCCACTCCCGCCAGACAAGAAGACGGAGCCGCCACCGCTGATGCTGGGAGCGACGGCTGTTCTTGGATGGCATGGTGTAGTCGGGCCTGTTGATTTATACTGCGACCTTCTGCGCTGCGAACGGTGGCTTGTTGCTGGTTCCGCGTTGTTGGCGAGAGGTGATGAGTTCAGTGGCTGATAGGAGGAGCGCCGAGAGTCCAAGCGTCGGGAAGAGCACGGCGTCGAGGGCGGAAGAACGTTTGTGCTGCTTGAAGCCATTTCAGTCAACAGCGTTCAGGACGGAAGATGTGGGGTCAACAGGGGTAGACAAACGCGTTACGTAACGCGTCAACAGTCACGTTTGGTCACGCGATTGAATTTCCGAACTTCCACCACTCAAAAACAAAAACAAAATCCAGAGAAAAGCGGGGTCACAGCATAAGGCACTACCAAGGCTCGAACTTGGGTTTCAGGAAGGTGATTCCCTAATCAAAATCCTGAGTGATAACCTCTACACTATAGTGCCACCATCCTTCGGGGACAACAGTAGGTAAGTATCCTGATTAGTTCTCTTACCTTTCACTCCAATTCCACTCCGCATGACCTACCCTCTGTTAACAGTTCTCGTGCAGGTACATGTACCTTACCGAATGCCAGCGCGTCTTCGCTCCTAGTACTTGTAGCGTGCTGCAATATATAATGCAAAGTTCAAAAAAAAAAGAAGGATCAACCAGAGACTTATGTACTTCTCACGGTCACTCAGCAAGCGACCAATCTCGGTCGGGCACCAACCTCTATTCAGAGGCCACTGCATAAAGTTGATCACCGTGCGCTGTGCTCTTGTTCTCACTCTGACATACCGAATCCAAGTCACATAGCGGCGAGACTCCGCACATAGCAGCAAATGCCTTCGGAGGGTGATTCTTTCCTGCCCGCATCCAGTCTGTCTTCTACGCGGTCTTCGACGTCCAGAAAGGACCCAAAATTGTATACCAAGTCCCCGAAGGACTGATTGCTACAGGTGGGCCATCGGGCCCACCTCTCGGCTCTGTCTTTCCCTCGGCACCTCCAACGCCCTCTGTCGAGACTCCGCCGTCCATACAAACTCCCAGCGCCGCATCGCGCAACTCTAGCATCTCCCTCGTCTCTCCATTGGAACAGCGGCCCAACTCTCGCAACCTAAACTCGCCGCAGCACAAGCAGCGCTCCGTCTCCTCAAACCGCGTGCTCTTCAACTTCGATGATATCTCAAAGTATGTCATTCCGCCTAGCGCGCTGTGCGGCCGGCTCGTCACCTGCGCGACGAAGCACTACAGGGTGGTCGGCCATCCGGTCGCGCTGGAGGGCGAGCAGTACGAGCGCAACTACTTCTACTATAACCTCTGCTTCGTGTTCGAGCGCTCGGCCGACGTCAGCTGCTACGACCCCATTGTGCGCAAAGTCAACCGCGTTTTGACTTCCTGCGAGGTACGCAAAGTGAATGCCTTGCTAAAGCTGTTTAACACCGGGGTTATCAGGAAGAGTCGAAATATCTGTCATGTCCTCCCACTCCGGACGCCATGCAAGCGATTTTGGAGCAGCTTTTTGAAGACTTGAACTCGTACTCAGAGACAGCTATCCCTATCGACCACTTCAACTCCATCCAGCTGAAGATCTTTCCATTCTATCCTAACCCACCTCCGGTATCTGGTATGGCAATTTACTCTCTGCGCCCGTTTTTTTGTCTTACCGACGCGCAGATTGGATGGTCCCTGTCGCTCTTATCAACCTCAAAAAAGCCGTCGAAGACGACTGGGATCTTACGATGGTGAAGGTATGACCTTTACCTCCGACTGTATCCGACCACAGAAACTAAAGCCATACACACAGATATGCAAGTATATCGACGGCACAAACCATGTCAGCAAAATCGCCCACCTTGCCGACTGCGACCCAGTACTCACGCGAGAAGCTATCTCGCACCTTCTGTGAGGAATTGCACTGTCCATACCGTCTATCTCTGATATTTGTCTTGCTTCGTTTTGTGAAGGTACTACCAAGTCATCATGACCGTCGACATTTTCCAGTTCTCCAACGTCTATACCCTTCGCAAAAGTATACAATGGCTGGCCGAAGAGCCGCACGTCAAAGAAGAATGTGGGCCATACGTGACAAGACCTGGTCAACGTATCCCGGATTGGCCGAAACTGCTACATCTCTACTCGCGCTTCCGCTCCGGAAAGACAGTACAACAGTGGATGGATGCGTGGGATATCCACGAACTCGGTATCGACGCTCGTCGCTTCACGAGCTTTGGTGTCATCAAGGTGAGAGCCCTTACGCGGCCGGCTTCCTTCCACCTTGGCTGAACACAAACTCAATCAGGGCTTCCTGCGCCGCGTCCACCGCTGGCCCGTCCTTCTGCCCCCTTTTACCATGCATCACAACACGCCAGAGACACCTCTCTCGCCGCTCGACTCCAGCACAACCGCAAGCGCGTCACCAGCCTCTCCTCCCTGCAATACACGCCCATCGCGCCGCTCATCTCCCCCGATGCGACGCCCACACCGCCCAACGTCCAGCTGCTCTTCCGCGGGAACGCGAACGCCAGCACCCTAGCCTACCACCCCGCGCCAAACCTCGGAACATGCACACCGCCGACGCTGGCCACGCTGTCTGGCACGGCGACGCCCGTGGCGGTCGCGTCTCCAACGATGGCGGACCCGCTCGCCGGCCAAGACATGCTATCGTACGCATTCGATATCTACCGCGCGCGCCAGGCGTCCGCCGCAGAGCGGGCGCTTGAGCATCTGCGGAACAAGGACTCGGCGCAGAAGGCGTCGCCGGGCTGGAGCGCACTCGCAGCATCGGTGCGGCGTCCGGGGTCGCCCTCGTTGGCGTCGCTGCCGACGCTGTCTTCGCGAGGGCCCGAGTCGCGGCGGCAGTCGCTGATGACGCCGACCATTCCACCCGCGTCTCCGAGCATCAACATCAAGGCTGCCTCTGCGTCGCATCGGCAGCGGCAGGCGACCGCGACGGACTCGAAGCAGTGTCCGCCGGAGCTGATTCCGCTGCTGGACGGGGAGCATCATACGGACGAGCTGAGTGTGCGCTTTGAGGCGGGCTGGCCACTCCTGCAGCAGTGGCTAGCCATCGCGGGCGGCGGGACCGGTGACGACGGCGACTTTGGTCGCGTGTGCATAATTTACAGATAGCTGGAAGCGCATCATTCACCCATGGCAGGAGAGCGGAAGATAGTTACATTGTGTGTTGATTAGTATATGAGTGATACAGTGGCAAGGACAGCAAGAGCAGGTATACAGGATGAGCGTTAGGTGGTGTACGTGATCCGCAGGGTGAGGTCGAAGGGAAGGGAGCTGGCAGTGACAGTGATTTGGTCACCGTCCTGGATCAGCTCGGACAGCTTCTTCTCTAAGTTCGGCCTCGTTGCCTCCTCCAATTGTGGTGGCGCTTGAAGGTAAATCTTCGTCGTTGCGGTCGACAAGGAGGGCTTCTTGATTTGGCTATATCACGAAGGTGAGCAAGCGCGAGCAGTCGCCTAGGCGAGAGACGTACATATCCTGGCGCTCGACAAGCATTTCGATGAGCTTCTCAACAGTCATGTCCTTGTTGACCCTGATATCGAGCGACTCGCCACCGCACACCGGGCATTCAGGCCGCTGCGTGTGCTCAAAGGTGTATGAGTAGACGCCATCCGTGCCGATCAGCATAAAGTAGTTGTTCAGGTATGCGGCCGAGCTGGTCGCGATCTTGAACGCCTCGTTACAGCACGCAGCTGACGGATGGTCAGACATGGTGAGTCTTCTGAGTGATAGGACGAGCAGACGGACCAGCGATAATAGCGTTTGTGGAAGCGATAGCTGGAATAATGTTCTTCACGACACCCTGCGTTAGCGACCAGGTCACGCCCTCGATCTTGAATTCGTTCGCGCGAGCGGCTGCGACAGAGTACAGCCAGCCGATGTGTTCCGGGTCATCCGTGTCCATCTTTTTGTCTGTGCGTCCCTCGTCAGTTCACTCGTCAGCCACAGAACCGAATGAGCGCCCTCACCGCCATGTACACGCGGCCACTCGAGCACCGAGGCCCACTCTATGCAGTGCTCAGGCAAGCGGGGTGTGTTTGCGATGGTGCAGATGGGGAACGCGGTTGGCCTGTTGAGCATGTCGAGCGAGCACTCATAGCATGAGGTGATCGTCGGCAGGATAACGCGCGCCTGGCCCTTGAAGCCTGGTGGGCCTTCAGTATCGCGTTCCGCAGATGCAAACATGGCCGCGCACCCTCCGTGCCACCATCAATCAAGGGCTTCAAGCTCTCCGGGTTCTCGGGGTCAACGAGATTGACGAGCGTCGCGTTGATCCACCGGCGCGCCTCTACGGAGTCAAGCCCGCAGATGACAAGGTTGAACTGTAGGTAGTAGTCGTCGTCCTTGTCCTGAATCTTGCCAAAGTATCTGCATTGTGATATGAGCAGGGATATCACCTGAGCAGGACGCGACCGTACGGTGTCACTGTACATCCTGGCACGCGCTTCATAATGAACTCTGCCGCGACAGTGGCTTTGGGCTTGCCGACATCCTTCTGGCTGTATGCATTATGAGGGATGGCATTCACCCCGCAGTTGGAAGCGCGCGCACCGGAAGAGGAACTGCCTGTTCAAGTTGGAGATATCGATCGTGTCCATGTCAATGACATGGATGTCCTTGAAGCCCGTGAGCGCGAGGTTCGCGAGGATCTCGCAGCCCAGGCCACCCGCGCCAATCACGAGTATCTTGGCCTTGTTTCTCAAAAAGTCTTTCACCTGTCCAGCGCGCATCAGCACACACCAGTACCCTTCAGCGCGCTAGGCGCCGACGCACCCCATCGCCCGCCATAAAATCCGGATCCGTGCGTGGCCCCGGTTTGTCGAGGATCTGGTCAACATGGTAGTAGCGCCCGGGCCAGTCAACAGCATTCGCGGTCTGCACAGACATCGTCGTAGGGTACAAGGAGGTCAGGGACAAGAGCCACTTGTTGACGCCTGTGTGCACTGTGACTGTGTCTTGTCAGCGCGCTTTGCGGGCAACCGGCCCGCCGCCCGACGCGCTGCAGCCGATCGCGTCTCTCACGTGCGCATCTCTCATTTTCCCTCCTCTCCCCGCACTCATCACAATGGTCGCCGGCGCCCTCGCCCAGTTCTCCGGGCACAAGTACCTCCGGCAGAGGCTGGTGCTCTCCATCCTCAGCGGCAAGCCCGTCAAGATCGACAAAATACGGCCAGAGGACAAGAACCCCGGCCTGCGAGGTGAGAACAATGGCACCTTATTGTTCTCGATCGGGCTTGGCTGACGAGGGGGGCCGATGTATCTGCAGACTACGAGATCAGCCTGCTGCGGCTGCTGGAGAAACTCACGAATGGGACGGTTATTGAGATCTCGGTGACTGGTGTGTTGTGTGCATCGTGTGCGCTGTGCGATCGTTGACGCGAACGAAGCATAGGCACGGCCATCCTCGTCAAGCCAGGCATCATCGCGGGCGGGGCGCTCACGC